TAAATTAACAATATAAACATTATAATTTATAAAAAAGTTAGGTTAGGTCAAATTAATGCTACATTCTTATTGCTTGCTTTCTAATAACTCGTGTAATAGTAATCAGATTCATAAATTTTATCTTATTTTTTGAATTATATTCACTCTTATTTGCCTTAAAAAGTATAATAAGAAAAGAAATAAAGGAAGAAAAAAAAGAAACTAATATCACGATAACATTTGTTGAATAAAATCTGGTATATATTTGCACTTAACTAACGTTAGAGTCGAAGAAAAAAATTGCATCAAACGATTGTGAACGATAATAGATATGAATAATATTACAAAACCTTATTTTCGTCGCATGCACGGGTGCGAAAAGCGGTTGAATCACCGTGAAGTTAGCAGATCTTCACAGCGATTAAATCGACAAACGATCGAGAACCAGGTTTTGGGAATTCTCTAGGTCGTAACAAAAGAAAGTACCGGAAGAAAGACACGAGTTCCAGTTGATTATAAATCGCACGAGATATCTATCTTTCCGACCTGCATTCTTTTCAATTGTTTGAGGAATTTTAATTTCGAATAGGATTCCACGAACTTTTTTAAAGGAAGAAAGCTTGTCGAACGTATAACGATCGAAGCTAAAAGATTTAACTATATCGATTAAGTTATCGAAAAGTATCGATAATATCGAAATTCGATATATTGATAATATCGTTACAGCAAGTGAAATAATATGCAAAACTTAATGTTAATTAACGATAAATAATTGATGAAAAATAAATTTTTAATCACATTTAAGTATATTTATACTTACGTTCTTATTTTATTTTTAATTACGATTGATGACTAAAATATTTAATGCGATTTATTAATTAATACAACTTTCATGTTTATTGTAATCTTTATAATCGATCCTTCAAAGATATTGATTCATATATTAACTTTTGTATTTAAACTTTTGTATAAAATTTATGTATATACGAAAACAACAAATTTTTCTATTAAAATAAATTTTTGTTATTTAACAATCGTATGTTTAAAAAATTAGTACAATAATAAATATGGTAAAAATTGTTTAAATAATTTGCTAAATAAATCGGTTAATAATTACTTAATCAATCGATTTAATTAAATTAATTTCAATTTTTTTGATGATTTAAGTTTTTTAATTATATATTTTAATTAATGAATTTGATCAAAAAATAACGTCATCAATGAATCCATTAATAAATTTCATCAATTGTATTAACGGTTCTTTGGCGAAATGATCAATTTGGTGGAAAAAACATTATATTTGAAATGATTACCTTCGGAATTGGAACAACGACGCTTTCTACAACAATTTCTACGACAACCGATGACGTATCCACGTTAAACGATGAGATATTTACGATCACTTATTCGTTCTAATATAGTATTCTTTACGCCAGTTCAATTCGAAAATTTGGTTTAATATGATAAGAATGCATTGTTTACTTTACCTTGAAGGCATAAAAGATAGGTACATGGCGGTTAATGCCGCGTATTTTTCTATCCGATTAGCAGCTATGCGAAGCCTTACGCAAAAGTATATACAAGTTGCCTGTTTGATACGGTTTTCGCCCGGAAATGCTTCAGTACAATCCGCGGCAATGTGCGAGGAGGTTTCCATCAGGGAGAGAATCGCTTTGTTGGAGGGTGAATAAAAAAAAACCTGACCGCAGAGATCTACCGATTATCATTTTAATTTTTCTTTCTTCACGATTAAATGCTTATCTCGAATCCACTATCCCTTTTTTTGAAATTTTTTCTACTTTTTCACATGTAAAATTATTCACTTTTATTTTTTCCACTCGAAATTATGAAATTAATCTTCAAACATTTTGCTGCTATTATATTATTATCTAATCTTTCATACATAGATTGGTTTTTCCGCTTGATGTAAAACAGATCTACCATAATGCTTTTCAAATATTTTCTATCTCTTTCGCATCTATGTTATCGTGTTTCTGATTGGCTAGATATACTAGCGACACGGTAACATTGTGTTGTTCCGTGTATATCCATCTAACTACAATCAATTTTCAAACATCTTTGCTACGGTTATGTGATTTGTTCTTTTTTAGGACGAAAGATGGCACCGGTGTTGGGTGTACCACCTCCTCCACCACCTGCTCCTCACATGGGACCAGATGGATTGATCTTGCCGAGAAAACCGTACAATCCCTATCTCTCATCCACGAATCACAAAGATCTTCGAAGGGAATTATTATTCAATCAGAAAGTGTAAGCTTCTTTTAATCCATATTTGTGATATGGAACTTGGATATTAATCTTTTAAGCATTGAATTATATTAGCATAATTTTGTATACACGATAGAACATCTTTGTGACACGCTACATATGGTATCTCTGAATGTGGTATATCATTATAACATATCGGAAGATTCCAAAGAATGATACATATGTTTCATTTGCATTTTAAGAATATAATAAATATTTTATAACTGATTTACGTCATAACTTAAGCAAAAGTATTATTTTTATTCTTGACATGTCACAAAGTACAATGAAATCTGAAGTCAAATATCCATGAGATAAATTAATGCAAATATTAACACAAAATAGAATTTTTAACATGCTCTTAAAATATGTTATTGAAAAAAAAGATATTGAATTATATAATTAAACTTTTGTAAAAAAATTATTTTAATTTTTTAATTTAAATTTATTGTAACACAAAAATATTTTTTTTAATATTTAAATAATGATTTGTATTATGACAAAAGTTTTTTATTTTTTAGTATCTATGTGTATATATATGCATACATATATAACAGAAAAGAGACTTTCGCACTTCGCACGCCTATCATCGAGAAAATCGTTTCCTGTTAACATATGCCTTCTCTGTAATTCATTCCCAGTTACTTTTATGGTTTAAACAGGTCCGCTATTCAATTGAAAGGTTGTTCGCGCGCATTTTTCTCATCGTAGCAATTTTCGCGCGCAGCCCATAATCTTTGTCGGCAAGATACGTTCGGCCACATAATTAATCGATTTTCACTTTCTTCCAGTGGCAAAAACGTGTTGAATCAAAAAAGCGAGCTTCAACGAGCGCTCGAGAAACAGAGAGAAGCTGCCTCGAGGAGAGAAGCTGAAAGAAATCGAGAAGAGAACTACAAAGACGATCCCCGAACTGCCTTACAAAGAGCAATCGAGCAAAGGGCAAAGCACATTGAAATGACAGTTAATATTTTTTATCTATCTTTTCTATTTTTATACAAAACGCTTTTCTTCTTTTTAATTAAATTTTTACGCCTTCGTGATATTTCGATCTTTCAGCTGGAACAATCCCAACCAACGGAGCCACCGAGCAATCTTTTAATAACAGCGAGAGCAAAACTGAGACCGCGCGCAGATTCACAATGAAGTTATGTAAAAATAAAAAAAGAAAGAAAGATTGATTGTGAAATACGATAAATTTAATATCGTAGGGATTAGCGATAATCGAAATATTACGTCGCAACTCTTGAGCCAAATTTTTTTTTGATCATATTTTTTAATTTGATTATGTACATATACTACATTTAATCCGATAAGAATTCATTAAAAATAAAATAAACTTGTACAATTAGTTAAAAATATATTGTAACGTGACGTGTTAAATATTAGAAAAACAGAAAACAAGAAAGAATAGAAAAAAAAAGGATTTTATCATCTATCATATTTTGATAGATTTATTGGTTTAAAGTATATATATTTAATTAAAATGTGTGATACTTCAGTTGTGTATTTTTCGCGTTAAAAATAGATAATTGCCTTATTCTTCCAAAGTTCTCAAAAAGCGCGAATATGCACATTAGATGATTTATTTCTTCTTCTAAGCGAATTAGTCTCGTTAGATACTGTAGCTAAATCTAACCATTGCTTTTCATGAAATTCCGTGAAAGCAACGTGAACTTAAAATAATATATATATGTACTCATTTGTCGAACAAGGCCTTGTTAAATGTAGAAATTGTAGATTCAAATATTGTAAACGTAATAACAGATTAGGGCCGTAAATAACTCTCAGTAAACATTCAACTTATATGTATATCCGCGTGTCAATGATGTAATGCAGTATAATGCATTACATCTTTGTTACGACGTTTAGTTATTGAAGGAGAAATAAAATTACCGAACCTGATGATTGAATCGGTTCGATATTTTGTTACGTGCTCTTTTTTCAGAATTTTCTTATGTAAAAACTAATACCATTAGAATAAGCGATCAGTCATAAATAATAGAGATGAGAATTTAAACAGATACTATGAACAAAATGTAACTGTTTGACGATAGATTATCATCGTGCCTGAATTTATACCAATTTAGACCTGAATACGAAGTACAGATATAATTTCATCGCAATAAACACAGTAGTAAAATTGGTAGCCTGGGACCACCGTACGTTTATAATAATTATACACTAGCAATTAAATGAAAAATATCCGATAGATTGAGATAGCAGCATTTATTAAACTCCAGTGTTCATAATTCAGAAAAGAAATGAAATATATATTGTTGCACTATATTGTTTTAATCAATGTATTATAGAAACGTGATCATACACTCGAATTTAGTAAGTTTTTCATTGATAATAATACATTAAAGTACATTTATCTCTACTGTTTTGAAAATATAATAAAAATAATCGTGATATTTAAAAATTCAAAAATATAGTAAAATTCTATGAAAAAAAATTTACAAATAAATAGACATATTATGTAAACATATGAATTTTAATGTTATTATTAAGTGTATTAAATTTTAATTTGTGTAAATTAATCATCATATTATTTACAACATTTAAAATATATTTTATTCAATGTCAATAAATTTTTTATTTTTATTAATTTGTAGGAAAATAACAAATGTATTAAATAAAAAAAAGATTGCTTATAATATTGATCCAACTTGACAATTCGATATTTCGTAAAAATATTTTATCTTATCTATATCTAAATATTGGATTAAAAAATAAAATAAAAAAATATCTAATTTTCATATTTTTTGTATATTTCACAAGATTTCATCTTATCATGATTATAGTCTTTCTATCCATAAAAAGGAAACAATCAATAAAATATCATTAGAATTGTATAATTAAATATAGCGTTATTAATAATTAACATTTATCATCGATGTGACTTTACATAAATCAACTTGTACATTCTCAGATTGTGAATATAATGAGTATACGCAATTTAAAACAATAGACATTTCAGTAGTCGTCTCCGCGAGAAATAACTTCTTTACATGTTGGGCGTAAAACAAGAGTATGCTCAAATTGAGCAGTGTAACATCCCTTGACATCAACTAAAGGTGGGTAAGCTTCTACTGCGCCTTTATCACATAAATCCTTCAAAGCCATTTGATATTTTGTGCAACCAACACGGTCTAACCATCGTTTGCAGAAAGCCAAAGTACCTGTACCGAATATATTTTTATAATTTATCTTTTAACAAATAAATCGAAATTATTTCGATATTTACCGAAATGTTTATTAATAACGTTGAGTAAAGATTTGCTACTTTGTAATCTTAATGGAACGAAACCAGCATCAAAGCTCTTCATATAATGAGAACAGTCTAAATCATCATGAACAATTCCTCTTCCAGTAGATCCAAAAGTTTCAATAGCATAAAATTCATTCTCTTCCATCCTGGTAGCTTCGCCACCTTTAACTATCGGTACAGTTTTTCCAGCGTGGATACGATACGGAGCAATTGAATGACCATTAAGATTTCTTATGGATTTTACCTATATGTATTATAATTAACTTTCAATAATAACGATTTATAATGATATTGAAAAATTATATAAAGAAATAAGAAATATACCGGATAAGTTTTGCCATCTAATTCAATTTCATATGATTCCATAACTTCTTGAATTGCAGCACCAACATCGCATAGTTGAACATCAATACCAGCAGCTTTGATACCTGTATTTGTCGCATCACGAACAGCTTCTATGAGCTTATCATATTTTGGATTGAATGCCAATGTAAATGCACAATCAATAATTCGTCCATTAATATGTGTTCCAAAGTCAATTTTAG